AAAAAAAAAAAAAAAAAAAAAAAAAAAAAAAAAAAAAGAAGGGAGGAGGAGGAGAAAGAGGAGAAGGAAGAGAAAGAGAAGGGAGAGAAGAAGGAGAAGGAAAAGGAGAAAGAGATATAGAGATGTGAATAAGCAATAAAAATATGCCACATATCCTGGGTTGTCAGATCAGTGTATGAAACCCTACCACACATTTTTCAGAACAGCCAAGTTCAGAACCCTGATACTACCAGGTGCTGAGAGGATTTGGAACATAAGCACCCAGGGCCTCACTGGTGGAAAGACAATACCTTGGAAGCAGATTTGACACTGTGCTCTTTGGTATTTACCCAAGAGCTGAACTCAGAGACACAAAAACTTGCACAGGGATGTCCAGCTTTATTCTTAGTTGCTAAAGCAAGTGAGTGACCTACATGCCCCTGAGGAGGGTAGGTCAACAAACCATGGTCCTTCTAGATAATGGGAGTATTAACAAATGCTAAAAAGGAATGGGTTATCCATGGAAACCCAGAGAAGAAACTTGTGGAACCACCACAGTGAAGAAGCTACACTTCATGAGTCCAAGTCATGGCATTCTTTAGGGGTGACATTACACAGGTAGTGAGCAGGTCACTTGCAGCCAGAGGTTAGGAGATAAGGAGAGTCAAAGGGCAGTAGCTGGAGAGTGAAGCTATTCTGTACAGCACTGCAGAGGCAGATAGACACCATTAAGCATCGGTCATACTTAGCATGTACAACATCAGGAGGGGAAGGAAGCCTAATGAAATGAGGGAGGTCAGCAGTACTGCTGGGCCGGGGTGGGTCTATTGATTGTAACTGAGGTGTGGAGAGGTTGAGGGGCAGGTTATACATGTGTGGGGGTGGGGCATATGGTATACATTTCACTGTATACTTAAAACTTTTATTAAGAAGCAGCCTGCTAGCAGGGCGGTGGTGGTGCACACCTCTAATCCCAGCACTCAGCAGGCAGAGGCAGGCGGATCTCTGTGAGTTCGAGACCAGCCTGGTCTACAAGAGCTAGTTCTAGGACAGCCTCCAAAGCCACAGAGAAACCCTGTCTCGAAAAACCAAAATAAATAAATAAATAAAATAAAAGAAGCAGCCTGCTGGAGCAGGAGAGATAACTCAGGGGTTAATAGCACTTGCTGTTTTTTCAGAGGACCTGAATTTGGTACCCATCCTCCACATTGACACAGAACCACCTGTAACCCCAGCTCCAGGGGATCTAACATCATCTTCTGGCCTCCAAAAGCACCCACACACATGTGGCATACAGAGACACACATACATACTTTTTTAAAAAGTCTGCTACTTTAAAAAGTGAACTTTGAAACCTCAACTGTACAAACGTATTTGTAGAGGTGCAGGGCCTGAAGGGCAATACCTTGATGACCCTCCATAGAACCCAAAGGTTCCAGCATCTGCTTCAACTCACCGAGGTGCTGGCCAACATACTGGGGCCCAGGTCTATTTCAGTAATCTTCTTGTTCACCTCGCTCAAGGAGCCAACAATGCATGCTGGGAGGCAAGTTGCTAAGGAAACTTCAGGAGGTAATCACACACAGCAGAAGGGTCTCCTCAGCAAGAAGAGCAGTCCAGGCTGCACTATCTCTTTACAGATTCATTCCCTCTGCCAATATTCATGACTTCATCATATTTAAGCTAGTCAGTTTTATAAATGAAAATCAATGGAATGGTATGAACACTCATCTATAATTCTAGCACTCAGGAGGCTGAGGCAGGAGGACTGCCATGAGTTTGAGGCCAGCCTGGGCTTCATAGTGATCTCTGAGCTACCCAGGGCTATGGTGTATATCCTGTCTAAAAGAAAAAGAAAAAAGCAAGCAAACAAACAAAAACAAGAAAGAAGAGGAAAATAAGTTTCCTGTGTTGTAGCCACCCTGGAAAAAGATGTCCACACTGCCTCCAGCCAGCCTGTCAGTCTTGAGAGCATTCTTTCTGAGTTTTTGTTCATTTCAGTTTTTGATAGGGGAAGACAGGATGTCTACGTAGTGATCTCTTGCCTCAGGCATGTGCCCCGGCATTGTGCTTCCTGCAAGCATAACTACAATGTCAATGGTGTCTGGTTCACCTCCATGACTTCTCTTCCACAAGAATGTGTCTGATGGACGGAAAATACCAATTTAATAACATCACATGGGCCACTTAGAGCATACACCTTAGGGAGCTTTCCTGTTGCCAGGCTGTTGCTCTGTAAGCCACTAACAGCCTCTCCAACCATAAACAATGCTGTAGTTAGCATGGCACAGAGAAGTTTCAAATTGTGGAATACTTCTTGCTTTTAAAATATATTTTAATTTTATGAATACATGCTTGTGCCTGAGTGTGTGTAAGTGCACTATGTGCATGCAAGTGCCTGTGGATCCCCTGGTTACAGTTTCAGGAGGCTGTGTGCAGCCTGATGTTGGTGCTGGTAACTGAGCCCAGAACAGTAAGCACTCTTGGTAGTGGAGCCATCTCCCCAGCCCCTGGGGTGTTTAAGGGAGATTTTCAGTGTGGGATGACTGGGCCAAAGGGCACCCTGCTATCACCATCTCTCAGTTGAACGTCTCTATGAATCTGATCCATTCTATGTATGTTATCATTTCACCTTTTACATTTCATGTCTTAGCATCAGGGTTTCCCAGGACATGGCCTCCATAAGCCTCGCAATCCTATAGTTCCACTCCTTCCCCATTAAAAAAGGCTCGCTCTCCCTTCCATTACCCTCAAGTGTTCTTTTTTTTTTTCTGAAAAAAGGCTCGCTCTCCCTTCCATTACCCTCAAGTGTTCTTTTTTTTTTTTTCTGAAGTCTTTTTTTTTTTTAAAGATTTTATTTATTTATTATGTATACAACATTCTGCTCCCATGTATATTTGCACACCAGAAGAGGGCACCAGATCTTATAATGGATGGTTGTGAGCCACCATGTGGTTGCTGGGAATTGAACTCAGGACCTTTGGAAGAGCAGCCAGTGCTCTTAACCTCTGAGCCATCTCTCTAGCTCCCCCTCAAGTGTTCTTACCATTGGGAAGACACTTGGAAAGTGAAAGCACCAAGAAGGACATGTGACACAGACAAGGCCAAGTTGAGTGTGGGATTAAGAAGGGAATTAGAAAGAGACCCAAGAAAGTAAGACCCTGTAGAGATTCAGATGGGATCACACTAGCTGGTGTCTTGAGAAGTGTTTGGGAGAGGACCATGGAAAGTGAGGGAGACAGAGTGGAAGATGCAGTTTGCCTGGTGGCAGCAAGGCTTTAAAGCCTGAGGTTATTTATAACTCAAGAGTATTATTTGCTGGAGGGACTCTGAGATGGAGTTTTGTGACACAGGGATACACTTCAGTGAAGAGACGAGGATTAGTGAAGCCTGGACCAGGGAGAGGACAGTGGCAGGTAGAGCCTGGGTGAAGCCAGAGGGGCAGACAGAGCCTGAGTAGAAGGGCTAGCAGGTGAGGGGAGGGGAGGTCAACCAGAGGAAATGAATAATCTAGGTAGTGAGCTCACCTCTCTGGGGACAGAAGACTGGCTCCTGATTTCCTAGTTGCTATTATGTCCACAGTCCTAATTCTTTGGTAGGGAGCAAATAAACTTTTTTCCTCTCTCAAGAGATACAACCTGGGCATCTTTCTTTTGAGTTCCTTCTGCTTAAAAAATAAACCTCCACCAGGAGGTGGTGGCATACACCTTTAATCCCAGCAGGCAGATCTCTCTAAATTCTAGGCCAGCCTGCTCTGCAAAGCGAGTTCCAGGACAGCCAGGACTATTGCACAGAGAAATCCTGTCTCAAAAAACCAAATATATATATATTAAACATCAAGTTAAACAACCCTTCAAAGCCAGGAGGCCTTTAATCCCAGCACTTGGGAGGCAGAGGCAGGCAGATCTCTGAGTTCAAGGCCAGTCTGGTCTACAAAGCTACAAAGAGAAACCCTGTATTGAAAAACAAACAAACAAACAAAAAAGGGGGGGCTGGAGAGATGGCTCAGAGGTTAAGAGCACTGACTGCTCTTTCAGAGGTCCTGAGTTCAATTCCCAGCAACCACATGGTGGCTCACAACCATCTGTTATGAGATCTGGTGCCCTCTTCTGGTGTGCAGATATACACAGAAGCAGAATGTTGTATACATAATAAATAAAATCTTTTTTTTTTTAAAAAAGGAAAAACAAAACCCCCCAAACAAACAAACAAACAAACAAACAAACAAACAAACAAACAAACAAACAAACAAACAAACAAACAAACAAACAAACAAACAAACAAACAAACAAACAAACAAACAAACAAAAAAGGAAAAACAAAACCCCCCAAACAAACAAACAAACAAACAAACAAAAAAACCTTCAAAACATCACATCCCTTTAAGGCTACATAGGACTTAAGTACACAGAGAAAATTTCCATGGCTAACAGGTAACATACCTGGACAGATGCACTTGGTGTGACTGCATTAGAAGGATACTGGGTGGGTGGTCTCGCAACTGCTTCCTCAGAACACTCTGCAGTGCTTTCCGCACATTGACCGAGATCACCATGCGCTCATCCACTGCTATCATTGGCAAGGCAGTGACATTGATGGTGTCCATCTTCTTGATAGAGTCCATTGTCCAACCTCTTGTAAACTGACAAACAACAAGTTTCCTCTCTTTTCCCACTCCAACCTTGCTCTTTATTCAGTCAGCCTGCTGGGATAAAATGGCATAAAATCATCTTAGACAACAAAAGGGGAAAACTCCATACAACAGCCTACTGAGAGGAGATGATAAGGACTGTAATACATCATTAATTAGCAGGAAGCAAGCCTTTTGGTCAGAAAGTCCTTTTTTTTTTTTTTAACTGATGCAAAATATTTATTCAAAGTGATCTGCTTTATGCAGTTGTCTCCCCCTTAATTGCCTTGTCATAACCACATCCTTTACATCTGGATCATGTTTTCAAAGTAAGCTTCACCTTTGAAATCGCCAGTTTTTAAAAAAATATACATATGGGGGCTCTGGAGAGATGGCTCAGCAGTTAAAAGTATTGCCTGCTCTTCCAGAGTTCAATTCCCAGCAACGATGGTGGCTCACAAACATTCGAAATGACATCTGGTGCCCTCTCCTGGTGTGCAGGAGGCATACATGCAGGCAGAACACAATACATGATAAATAAATGAATCTTTAAAAAATTTTAAAAATGTGTGTGTGTGTGTGTGTGTGTGTGTGTGTGTGTGTGTGTGTGTGATGCATGTGTGGAATGTCATTGGATAGCTTCTTCTGTCACTTGTCACCCTATTTTTAGAGGTGGGATCTTCTATTCAATCTGAAGTTTCCCTTATAGCTAGTCTGACTGGCCAAAGTGCTCCTGGGTTCCACTATCTCTGCCCCCAAATGCTAGGGCCACAGGCACTGGAGGCCATGTGTGGCTTTTTGTTTGTTTTTGTTTTTGACACATGGCCACCATTGCATGGCCCATATATGACTTTTTAAAGGATCTATTCTATTTTCTGTATCTGAGCATTTCCTTGCAGGTATGTGTATGTGTAACACTTGAGTGCCTGGTGCCTATAGCAGGAGGTGCCAGGAATGGGAGCCCTTGGAGCTGGAGCTACAAGTGCTTGTGAACCACCATGTCAAAGATGTAGTTTCCCTGGTGGCCGAAGAGCTTAAAGATTTAGTAACATGGAGGGGCTGGAGTGATGGCTCAGCCTTTGACTGCTCTTCCAAGGACCTGGGTTCAATTCCCAGCACTCACATGGCAGTTTATAACTGTAACTGCAGTTCCAGGGGATCTGACACCCTCACACAGACATATATACAGGCAGATATATAAAATAAAAATAAGTAAATCATTTAAAAAGTTAAAACTACATATAACATGGGAAGCCTGGGGTTATCTGTGACCTGAGAGGACTATTTGTTCAATGGGTTCTGAGGTCCTCAGAGACAGAGTTCTGTGACTCGGGGATACAGTTCAACAGTAAGATGAGAACTGATGAAGACAGGACCAGGTAATCTGGGTGACGCCCGAAGGGCAGAATGAGTCTTCGCAAGAGAGGTGAGGCCCTCTGCAAGAACAGTAATGGCTCTTATCCACCCAGTCATGTACCCAGTACCCAAAATTCACATTTGACAATCTACCCTGAATATCAAGACTGCAAGAATAGCACATTTCTGCCAGGCGTTGGTAGCACACGCCTTTAGTCCCAGCACTTGGGAGGCAGAGGCAGGTGGATCTCTGTGAGTTCGAGACCAGCCTGGTCTACAAGAGCAAGTTCCAGGACAGCCTCCAAAGCCACAGCGAAACCTTGTCTCGAAAAAACGGAAAAAAAAAAAAAAAAAGAATAGCACATTTCCTATGTATTTCCTATGTACAAATGTCTTACATCTGTACCACTATACTGTGCTCCACTTGGGCAGGTGTGGTGGTGCACCCTTTTAATCACACACTCGGGAGGCAGAGGCAGGTGGATTTCTGTGAGTTCGAGGTCAGTCTGGTCTACAGTGTGAGTTCCAGGACAGGCTCCAAAGCTACAGAGAAACCCTGTCTCAAAAAAACAAAACAAAAAGATGGCTCAGAGGCTTAAGACATTTGCTGCCAAGTTTGACAACCAGAGTTTTATTCCCCACAACCTTGACCGCCCCCACACCCACATGAAGGAAAGAACCCATTCCCTCAAAGTTGTCCCCTGACACATATGCCATATGGTACACTTACTTTCTCCAATAGGTAAGTAAATGAATGTAATGCAATGAAGTACAAAGAAGGCCTGTTCTGTGTGCTCACTTAGTTAGTCCCTGCAACAGCTCAGCCTGAACTCCCCAGTTCCTGAACCATTTCCAAGAGGAGTAAGGGGAGGAGAAGTGGGGAAGGAGACAGTAGAAGAGGGGAAGGGAAGTTAAAAATGAACTGCCGTGGTGGCCACATCATTACCTTCCCTGAGCAGTGGCAGTATGGTGTTGTTCAAATTGGTGAATCCTATTTGTAAAGTCCTAGCTGGGGAGGACAGGTGGCCACAGGCTGGGACAATCAAGGTAAAATAGGTAAAATAAAATAGGTAGTATCAAAACACTACAAAAATCTTCCAAGCGGTGAAGTGCAATAGCAAAATATGCACATGACACAGCCCTTAAAAAAATTATTTTAAACAATTGTCAAAGCAGGGGCTGGCAAATTGACTCAGAAGGAAAAGATGACCTAAACTTGACTCCTGGGATTCACATGATACAAGAAGAGAACTGACTCCCATAGTTGTCTTTGGCCTTTATATGCGCACTGTGGCACACACATCCCCAATCACAATAACTAAATAAATCTAATTTAAAATAAAAATCAAAACCAAACAAACAGCAGAGGGCTGGGGAAATGGCTCAGGGGTTTGCTGCTCTTACAGAAACCCTGCCTTTGAGTCCTTGCACCTAGGCTGGGCAGCTCACAGCCACCTGTAACTCCAGTGATTTGATGCCCTCTGATTTCTGGCCTCCTCTCACATCTCCATGTGGGCGTGTGCCCACACAGACATAAAAAATAAAATCAATCTTTAAGAAAACTCAGCTGGCTTCAAATTCTAGGATAGAAGATATCTTTTTTGTTGTTATTGCTTTGTTTTTGAGACAGGGTCTTTCTCTATAGCCCTGACTGTCCTGGAACTCACTCTATAGACCAGGCTGGCCTCAAACTCAGAGATCTGCCTGCCTCTGCCTCCTGAGAGCTGGGATTAAAGGCATGCGCCGCCACCGCCAGGCTCCATACTTATTCTCTTAATTTGAGGATGCCTACACCTCCCCACATCTATGATAGGAACTATTAGCTTTCCTTTTTATGATTTTTTTAAAAGTTTTTTGTTGTCCTCAAGCAGCTCATTCAGAATGAAAGGAAGGAGCTAGGGTCATGGGGAAACTAACCCAACTCTCCTTTGCCACACTCCTTCCTGCATCCTGCTCCCATGATTCCGTCTCCCTCTCTAATCTCCTCCCAGCTCTACATCCCAGAGGCCTGGCCCAAAGGCTTCTCCCTGCTTCCCTATCATGATATGTTCTTTTAAAAATATATTCATTGGGGGCTGAGAGATGGCTCAGCTGTTAAGAGCACTGGCTGCTCTGCCAGAGGACCTAAGTTCAATTCCCAGCAACCACATGGTGGCTCACAACCATCCATAATGTGATATGGTGCCCTCTTCTGGCCTGTGGGTAAAACACTGTGTATATAATAAATAAATCTAAAAAAAAAAAAAAAAAAAAAAAAAAAAAAAAAAAAAAAAAACTTCATTAATGGGGGCAGGATACACACCAATGGAGCACATGTGGAGATCAGAAGACAACCTCCTGGAGTCAGTTTCCTCCTGAGTTCCAGGGATGGCACCTAGGTCATCAGGCTTTTGTGATGAGCACACAGTACCTGCTGAGCCATCTAGCTGGCCAGGTCATGCCATGCTCTTAATGCCCCATGTCTTTGCACGGGTGATACACCATCTTTAGAGAGACCTGGAATTATCCCAGGCCACCAGAACCATGACTCTTATGTATCTACTTTTATCAGATACAGCACTTAATATGTGAACTTGGCAGCCAGCTATGGCGGCACTTGTCTAAAATCCCAGCAAGGTGGAGATTGGGACTCAGGTGGGATCAAGAGTTCAAAGCCAGCTTTGGCTACCTCACCAATTCTTATCCCAAAAAATAAACCCTGAGCCGGGCGTTTGTGGCGCACGCCTTGTACACCTTTAATCCAAGCACTCGGGAGGTAGAGGCAGGTGGATCTCTATGAGTTCGGGACCAGCCTGGTCTACAAGAGTTAGTTCCAGGATAGCCTCCAAAGCCACAGAGAAACCCTGTCTCGAAAAACCAAAAATAAATAAATAAATAAACCCTGAACTGGATGACTTATTTCTATGTCTTTCTCTATTAGCAGAATTACTCCAGGGTAATCACTAGGATTAGAGTAATCATTCAATACTTGGTTTCTTTTAGAAGAAGTTGTCTATCACAGACTGCTCTGTAGGAGGCCTGTACGTCCTTTACTCACACATAAGCACTAGGGAAACCAGGAAGGTTAAACACTCAGTGCTGTCACTTCAAAGGGAGAGATGTACAACCTGTTTTCCCACCTAAAAGGCAGCCTGATGGTCTCTGTGTTATCTCTGTGGCCAGGCCCTTATTTTAGCTAGTCTGTTTTAGTCAATCTCTAGTGCTAACCTCCTCCAGACCCTTATCACACTTGCTTACCTTGAACTTTTTCTTGGTTATCTATAGAACCCATCTTTATGGAAGACAGAACTTGTACTTTACAAGTTTTGTTGTGCACATGGGATTGAGTTAATTGTGACCAGGAAACTTTTTACTAATTGTGCTGTGTTCAAACATGCCTAAAATAAACTACTCAGGGTCAGACTCTGAAAGTTTGAACTAACACCAGCTAGTGAGTCCTGCTGAACAGAACTACCTTCTTATTTCCCTCTGATGGTGGTTGCAGAAAGGAAAGACTGGCCCAGGGCCAGGTCAGTACTGTTTCTTGCCCTTTGCTCCTAGTCTTTAGCCTCACAGGCCAAGCAGGGAGAGGTAAGAGGAGGTAGGTACATTTTAGGCCTTCTCATTGTCCTCCTACCCATTCCCCCAATGGCCGGAAAATTACACTATGTTCTCTGAGAAGCTGGGCACAGATGACTCTGTCAGAAGCTTCCAGCTTTAGCCTAATGCTATTACTCATGCCTAATGTGAGAACTGAGTAGTGTTTTTCTAAAGAATAATGTTTAAAATACACACAGTGCCCTGGGATGAATTCTTCCTCATACCATTTAAGGGTATGTATGCTCAGGAGCACAGTAAGGTTTTATTTTCGTTGCCTGCAGAACAGGGAGAGCTAGCTCCATTGAAAGCTGTGTTATGGCAGGCACTGTGCCAGGGGCTGGAGGTGGATGAGTGGGAGATGAGGAACCTTCCCCTCTGGGCATTCTGGCAGATGGGATTTGAATATCCCCCTAAAGTTAACATTTGATAGCATGTACAAAGCAGACTGTGGAGTCGGACTTGGGTTCACTGTCAACTCTCAACCGTTCAATGACTATCTACTAAGGACCTCCCACAGAACTACAAGTGTGCTCCAGCTGGGCATGAATCAGTGAGCTAAGCCAAACTGGATCCATGTCACCCTAGTGGGGCTGACTATTGGGGTAGACTTGTAAAACTAAAATAAGTGCATAACTATAAATTATATTTTATAAAAGTTATGCTTATAACAATGAATTAATCACTCCAGCTTCCATAGGAGGTTCACGGAGATGACATAGTATGGTTTGTTTAGTTTCTTTTGATACAGGGTCTCACTCACATGTAGCCCTGGCTGGCCTGGCACTTGCTATGTAGACCAGGCTGGCCTCCAACTCATGGAGATCCCTGCCTCTGCCTCTCAAGACAGTTTATTTCGACCTAGTTACAGAGGTCAAGATGCAGAAGGAAGAGCAGGAGTTAATTGGCTAAAGATGAGAAGAGAAGGCACAGACCAGGAGGAGGTTTCATGGATATTGCCCATCCTGATAGCCATTAGCCACACATGAAAACAAAGTTCTTAAATTTGGTTCATGGGACTGAAGATAAATTTTGTTTTAAAGTTAAAAGCCAAAGCAAGGTTAATTTTAAAATATTTATGTTTAAGCATATTTTGGACAAGCAGAGTTAACTAAAACTGTAGTCAAGTTAATCTGTTTTGATTTTACTTTTAACAGCGTAGGGTCAGGTGTGGTACCACTAGCCCTTAATCCCAGCACTCTGGAGACAGAGACAGGAGGATTTGGAGACCAGCCAGAACTACATAGTGAGACCCAGGGTCAAATCCCAAGTGTTAAAAAGGAAAAAAGCGTAGGGGTTTGGTGTATGTGTGTACTCCCAGCACTGAGAGGCCAAGGCAGGATGAGTTGAGAAATCAGGGCAGCCTGGGCTACCCAGTGAGACCATATCTCAAAACAAAACAAAAAACCCCGAAGGTGCTTTGGGCATAGCTCATCGGTAAAGCGTGGGATCCGCGTGCACAAGGCTCAGGGTTTAACAACAAAAGGCTGCAAATTACAAGTGTGGTCTGCTTTATGTTTCTGTTGTAACATTAAGTGCTAGGCTAGATATGGCTAGTTTTGAACGTGAAACTCTCTCTTCTAATGCAGTGTGGCAAAGGTGGAGGAAAACTGCCCACAGACCGCCTGGTCCTGTCCCTTACAGCTGGAATGATACCTAGTGCTAGGCCGCTAGAAAACATCTCTTGGGTGGCCCATTTCTTCATTTACCAAACAGAACATAGTACACGCCGTTAGGAATTGAGGAATTCTGGAGGGGATTCTCCAGTTCTCCGCCCCTTGTTCATTGGGCGACCGACCTTCCTGGACCTGTTTCCCTTGCTCACAGTCATGAGGCTGCGGCAAGCCTGGCAGGAGCCGGTTTGCTGCTGGCAAGGTGTCGTCCTGTCTTACCTGAAAGCTTCGACGGAATCCCAAAGCCTCAGGGCCGGTTCCACCACGGGTCCCTCCGGTGACCCGACCAAGCTCTGGATGGCTGCCGGCACCCGCGGCCCCCAAATCACAGGGAATGGGAGCGCTTTGTTTTGTGGCCAGGGCGGGGGAGCCGGAGACCCGGCCATTTTGCTACTGTGAGTCCAGCCCAGGTCACTAACACATTCCCTTCCCATAACAATGCAGCCCTGAGCCGGCGCTGAGGCCGCCACCCGCGGTTACCATGGCGACGGCGCCGCCACCCGGGGGCCAGACCAACGTGTTTAGGGGCCCACTCCTCGCCTTGCCTATGCCGCTTAGCACGTGAGGAACTCCAGAAGACTTTCCCAAGGCCTTCCTCTCTCGGTGAACCGGAGGGGACCCGCGGGGGCCCAGCGGCTCCGCGTAGGCTCATCTGGGAGGTGACACCCCCTCCGTCCTTAGTGGTAAAGGCCATAGCCGCGGCGCACACGCGCGGTGGGAGCCCGGCGCCCGCCAATCGCAGTCGCGGCGGTTGACGCGGTGTGGGCGGATCCTTGCTTGCAGAAGGCTTGGGGATAGCTCTGGACTCCCACTTCGCAGACGCACCAGGTACGTCTGGGAGCGGCATTCGAAGTCTCGGGCTAGCCATGGTGGGTGGGAGGTGGGTGGGACACCCTGGTACCACTGGAGAGGGTGGTGGGCAGGCCGGGTGGTGGTATGCTCCGCGGGCGCGTCTTGCCTCGGTGACTCGGGACGGTGTTTTGACCCATCACTTGAAGGGTGTCTTAAACCGGTACTGAACTCTTATGGTTCTGTGTCCGTGCGCCTGCAGAGTTAAAGTTGGCCCTTAGGTCTTTCGAAACACTTTTTTCCTTTGAGAATCGAGTGAAAACCGAAGGTGCTTCCTTTACCTTCTTGTCGAGATGAATTCAGATAATGCATTTTATAGCCTGATGGGAACTAAAGCTTCGCACAGTAAGTACAGTTCCCTGAGAGGGGCACAGCTTGATCTGCTTCCCAGGGTTATGGTGAGCATCAAATGTGCCAACAACTTGTAAACACGAAAGCACTTCTCCAAGCTGGGTGCTGTTATTATTCCTGGTTATAAATAAGGGACTCGAGGGCTAGAGAGATGGCTCCTCGTCTAAGAGTACTAGTTGCTGTTGCAGAGAATCCGGATTCCATTCGCAGCTCATAACAGCCAGTAACTCCAGTTCCAGGAATCTGAGGACCCAAGGCACGTGGTACGCAGGACTTACATGCAGACAAAACACCCATACACAGAGAAACAATAACGACAGATAAAGCGTTTGAGGCCCTTGGTATAAAATGCTCAGATTGGTGTTGGTTGGAAACCAGGAATGGCCCCTTAACTTTCTTGATCCTGAGCCCTGCCTATGAGAAAGCTTCACTAAAGAACCCTAGGATTAAAGGTATTTAATCAAGGCAGGCATATCTCTATGAGTTCGAGGCCAGCCTGGTCTACAGAGTGAGTTCTAGGATAGCCAGGACTACATAGAAAAACCCTGTCTTGAAAAACAAAACAAAACAAAAAAACCCTAGGATCTCAGCCAGTTGATTATAAAGTCATCCAGAGAGTCATGCAGGGTGCTGTGATGGTCTATGCCTTGATCTAGAAGTGTGTGTGTGTGTGTGTGTGTGTGTGTGTGTGTGTGTGTGTGTGTGTGTGTTAATTTGTGAAGGGCCAAAAAATAAATAAATTTGTGAAGAGGACTGGGGAAAAGGCTCAGTGAATACAAGTGCTTGCTGTACAAGTATGAGGACCCGAATTCAAGTCCCCAACACCCCAGTAAAATGCCTGATGTGGACTTTAACGTCTGTAATTCCAGCATTGTTGGGGACAGAAAAAGGACTGCTTGGACTTGCTAGCCATCAGTCTAGCTCCAGGTTCAGTGAGAGTCCCTGTCTAAAGGGCATATGACAGAAAGTGATAGGGCACCAGACCTGGTGTCCTCTTCTGGACTCTGTACCTACACACACACACACACACACACACCTCTACATGTACACATGCATACAGCACATAAACACATACATTTTAAAAACTGCCATGAAACCTTGAGGTTTTAAAACTTCTCTTTATTAGTTATACTTAAATTAAAAAGATGTGCCGTGGGTTGGTTACGCATGCCTTTAAACCCAGCACTCGGGAGGCAGAAGCAGGCAGATCTCTGGGTTCGAGGCCAGCTTGGTCTACAGAGCTAGTTCCAGGACAGCCAGGGCTACACAAGAGAAACCCTGTCTCGAAAAACAACAACAGAAAAGTTGACCTCTTTCCCAAACTTGAATGATGTTAGTGATTTTATGAGCATTGCAAGAGGTTGTGACTAAAGCTGGTGTATTGGTGACAGTGTCATGGTCAGCTCCACTATGTTCCAGCTCTCTCCTTTTCTTGAGAAACCTTACCTCTCATAACAGGACAGGTGACTTGACACATGGACCAAGTGATAAGCACCACTGTCATTCTGGGAATGAAATACCCAGATTGTAACTATCTTCTGCGGATATGCAGAAGTTAGTGTTCCTAGCGCAGCTCTTACTGGCTTCTGGGGACAGAAATCTCATTCTTTGGGCCACACTGTAATACTGGTGAGGCCAACCTGGGCCAGGCTTTTAACATAACTGTGAACATAACATAACATACTTTGGTTCAAATGCCCATTGCCACTGAAGACCTTAGCTTTCTAGATGTCACCAACCAAATGGGGTGACTAGGAGGGGCTTGTCAAGGGTTAATTGTGAGTTAAAGGAGATCATGCAATGGCATTAGCATAGTGGCTGGTGCATACAAAGCATCCAAAGCCTGGGAGCTCCTACCAGGACTTGTAGGACCTCAGGCCTCCCTTTGCTGTTCTATCTAAAAGGACAACTCTTGCCAGTAGATATTGCCAGGATTGGTAATTGTCAATGGCTAAAATGTTTTTATGTTTTGACAACAATGAAATAAAGTCTCTGATCTGTTTGACCCTAGGAGAAGGAAGTGCTGGAGTTTCCTCGAGTCAGGAATGCCTCTCTTTGGGAGTATATTCAGTCCAAAGAAGACCCCTCCTCGGAAGTCTGCCTCTCTCTCCAATCTGCATTCTGTGAGTGGAGATTGGGGTGCCACAAGTGGTGTCTGGGTGGAGAGACACACTGTGGGAGGGCACCCTTTCAGTTTATATCATTAGTCAACTTTGACTTCCTGTGTGGGAATTACTGTCAGAGTTTATTCAAGAACCCACTAATAGCCAGGCAGGATGGCACATGCCTTTAATCCCAGCAGTCAGGAGGCAGAGGTAGGTGGATCTCTGTGAGTTCAAGGCCAGCCTGCTCTACAAAGTGAGGTCCAGGACAGCCAGGGTTACACAGAGAAACCCTGTCTCAAAAAAGAAAAGAGAACCAACTAAGATAGCTAAGCCTCATTCTGGTTTTGGTCCCAGGTGATGATATACAGTCTGACTTACATTTTAGTTTCAAAACTTGTCCAAGAATTAATTTCAGTCACGTTTAAAGATCAAACTCAAGCTGAGTGTAGTGATTTACACCTTTAATCTCAGCAATCAGGAAACAGAAGCAGGTGGACCTCCATGAGTTTGAGGCCAGCCTGCTCTACAAATAGAGGTCCAGGACACCCAGGGCTACAGGGAGAGACCCTGTCTCTGAAAAAAAGAGAATTTCAGGGGCTTGAGAGATGGCTCAGCCATTAGAGGCACTTGTTGCTCTTGAAGAGGACCTGGGTTGAGTTCCCAGTACCTACATGGTACCTTACAACCATCTATAACTCCAGTGACAGGGGACCCAATGCCCTTTTCTGACTTGCATTTACAAGGTTCATAGACTTATATGCTTGCAGAACACTCACAAATATAAAATTAAAACAAATCTTTTGTTGCTGTTTTGGGAACAGATTCTCTCTGTGTAGTCCTGGCTATCCTGGCCCTGTCTATGTAGACCGAGGTGGCCTCACACTCAGATCCACCTGTCTCTGCCTTCTAAGTGCTGGGATTAATGGTGTGCAACCCCACACCCTGCCACAAAACAAATCGTTTTTTTAAAAGGGTCAAGTTTCAGGCGGTGGTGGTGCATGCCTTTAGTCCCAGCACTCTGGAGGCAGAGGCAGTCGGATCTCTGTGAGTTCGAGACTAGCCTGGTCTACAGAGTTCCAGGAAAGCCTCCAAAGCCACAGAGAAACCCTGTCTCGAAAAACACACAAAAAGGGTCAAGTTTATTTTTGAAGGAATCACAGAAGATGCTGACTTGTCACCATTTAGTGATATTTAAGAGGATAATAACTGTTCCAAAAGAGGTGGCCCAAACACATTTGAGGCTATTACTTAGCTCTGGTGAGTCCTTCGTCCCCACCACGTTGGGGAATGCTATTTTAAGGTGTGTGGCCTTTGTTTATGCTGCATTTGTTTAACTCTGTGAAGCTGTGATTCTTTGCCTCTCTAGAACACCTGATGGTCTAATAAAGAGTTGAACGGCCAATAGAGAGGCAGGAGAAATGATAGGCAGGACTGGCAGGCAGAGAGAATAAATAGGAGAAATTAAGAAGAGAGGAGCAAGAGAACAAGGAGAGGAGGACGTCAGGAGTCAGGCACTCAGCCAGCCATGGAGTAAGAGGGAAAGATTTACAGAAGAGAAGGATAAAAACCCAGAGGGAAAGGTAGATGGGATAATTTAAGTTAAGAAAAGCTGATTAGCAATAAGCCATGCTAAGGCCAGGGAAGTCATAACTAAGAATAAGCTTCTGTTATTTGGGAGCTGGGTGGTGGACCCCCCAGAAGAGAAAAAACAGCTTACTATACCACCACATTCCTGTCCTCCTTAATTCTGGGTGGTATTAATCGCTCTTACACACCAAGAGATGATGACCCCGAACGTGACCAGTTGTGCAGATTAATCAATCCTTCATGGGTCAGTGGGTCAGGCAGCAAGGATAACCTCAGCTCTGAAGTCTTTGAGTCCATTCCCTCTAGTCCCCAGTTAAAGTCACAATGGCAGCCCTGCTTAGGCCAGGGCTAAACAATCTGGGACCCTAAGTTTCCATGCAGTGGACTTTGAGCATCCCTCCAGACATCAATGATGCAGATGTACCTGGTGATCTCACTGGGACAGCCCCTGTCCTGAGGGCATGCTCATAAAAAAGACTGTCTCAGCCCTGCCATCTGTGGTGGTAGCACACACCTTTAATCCCAGCACCAGCAGAGTTAGGTGTATCTCTGAGTTCAAGGCCAGCCTAGTCTGCAAAGGGAGTTCCAAGGCAGCCAGGGCTACAGAGAAACCCTGTCTCAAAAAACAAAACAACAAAAAACATCTGTCTGAGAGTATGACTTGAAGCCCATCCTCCCTGAAGTTTTTTTGGAGCCTCACAAACAAATGCTATAACAAGGGAATACAAAACAAAATACTGTGGTATCTGGAGTCCAGGGGACTTAATAGCAGCTAGTTATTACAGGATAGTGGCCCAGGTCTTAAGAAAGGCACATAAGGTGCCTCATGGTCTTGTCCTCTGTACACCTTTTGCTTCAGCCACCCAACTGTACAAGATCCTCCTGTATGCACGTCAGTCCACCTGCCCAGGGTCATCTTCCCTACTCATCTATTTCATGACAGCTAATTGAGAACTCTGTGTATCGGGCCATCTCTGGAGTGCTAGGTATGAAATAAGGAGAAGAGGGTACATGGCTTATAATTCCAGCTGCTTGGGAGGCTAAAATAGGATTACAAGATCAAGGCCTGCCTGGGCACCTCCACAAGACCCTCTCAAATTTTATAGTATTTTTTTAAGGGGAGCCCAGAATGGAGAGATGGCTCCATTGAGAATATGTGAGGATCTAAGTTCAATCCCCAGAACCAACATTTTAAAAGCTGGGCAGGGGTTAGAGAGACAGCCAGTGGTTAAGAGCGCTTGTTGCTCTTGCAGAGGACCCAGGTCTGAGTCCCAGCACCTACTTGGTGCTTCACGACCATCTATAACTCGAGGTCCAGGGACCCAATGCCCTCTTCTGACCTCCACAGGCACCAAGCATGCACATGGGTGCACATACATGCTGCAGACAAAACACAATAAAACAAGTAAATCTAGTTTTAGAAATAAATTTTAAAATGCTGGGCATTATGACATGTAAATGGGGGTGGGGCAGAGAAGATGACATGGGGCTAAGGACAAGAGGATCCTTGGGACTCACCAGCTAGCTAGCCTAGCCTACTTGCTCAGCTTCAGGCCATCGAGAGAACTTCTTTCAACATAGGTGCTGAAGAAGGGCAGGGGGAGGGGAAAGAGACTGGAGTGGAGGACAGTTATCAGGAAAAATGCAAAGATGAAGGGAAAATGCCGTAGGATAGCTAATACCCTATATGGAAAATGCCGTAAGATAGCTAATACCCTATATGCCAATTTCTTTATTTTTGTCAGTGGTAGAGTTGAGACAAAGTCTCTCTACCCTGGGTGTACTAGAACTTGCTCCATAGACCAGGCTGGCCTCAAACTCACAGAGATCCACTTGCCTCTGCCTCGTGAGTGCTGGAATTGAATATATGTGTCACCATGCCTGGCCTGATATTTTTTTAAAATGTGGATGGTGCCTGAGGAATAACACACGAGGTTGTTCTCTGGCCTCCACACATATACACACATGTACCTGCACATACATGAACACTGTGTGCGCGCGCGCACACAGACACACAGACACACAGACACACAGACACACACACACACACACACACACACACACACACACACACGGCAAAGGATATAGTTCACTGGTAGAGCACTTGCCTAGAATATTCAAACCCTGATAGCTAAATAAATAGGCAGTGAACAGATATCTTAATGAGGAGAGTAGCGTGTAAATTGAGCAACAGACATTTCAACATAAACTTGAAGGACTCCTTTCCTCTCTTTCTTTGTGTGTTCATGCTGTGTGTGTGTGTGTGAGAGAGAGAGAGAGTGGGTGGGTGTGTATCATGTGTGAGTGTGGATGTGTGTATGCTCTGCTTGGGTGTGTGTGTGTATGTGTGTGTGTGTGTGTGTGTGCATACTTGGGCACCCATTGCCTGGACCTGCTTCTTGAGCTGCTCATGTCTCCCTAACAGGGACAAAAGCTATTATCCAGCAGAGCTGGTCATACTCATGTATGAATGCTCTGGAGCCAGGCCTGACTTAGGGAGTATTTGATGAGTTCTGTCAATGAATACAGAAATTAGACTGTCACACATTAAACAAGCCCTAGCAGGAACTGTTAGAATTGTATGCTTCTTCATAACTTACAAGTTTCCTTATTATAAATATACAGGGGAAAATGAATTAAAACCAAGTGTCATTACACATACAAAAATGTACAATAGAAAGCTGAGTGGTGGTGGTGCACACTTTTTTTTTTTTTTTTTTTTTTTGGTTTTTTTGAGACAGGATTTCTCTGTGTAGCTTTGGAGCCTATCCTGGCACTCGCTCTGGAGACCAGGCTGGCCTCGAACTCACAGAGATCCACCTGCCTCTACCTCCCGAGTGCTGGGATTAAAGGCATGCGCCACCAACGCCCGGCGGTGGTGCACACTTTTAATCCCAGCACTTTGGAGGCAGAGGCAGGCAGATCTCTGTGAGTTAGATGCCAGCCTGTTCTATAGAGTGAGTTCCAGGACAGGCTCCAAAGCTACACAGAGAAATCCTGTCAGGGAAAAAAAAAAAGTACAATGGATTCTTTGAACTGTAAAGTAGACATAAAAATTTGAATTTACAAATTACAGCCTATATAGCCTTTCTGAAACATCCAAAGTGTAAAACAGAACATTTCTTTCCCTCTTATAGTTTAAATTGGGTGGGTGGATGGGCGCTTATACAAAGGCCAGAAGGGGACATTGAATGTCCTGTTTTACCACTCTCTACCTTATTCCCTTAGACAGGGTCTCATTCTGAACCTGGAACTTGCCATCTTCACCTAGGCTAGTGACGAGCAAACCCCACTGAACCTCCCATCTCCCATCTGCCTCTCCCAGACACACATAGCACTTGGACTTACAGACACATGTGGGCACAGCAAATACTCTTACCCACCAGGCAATTTTCCTAGCCTTTACTTTCAATGTTTGCTATATATAATTTAATAGTCTAGCCTTTTAAAGTATTTCAGGGATTGACAGGTATGGTAGTATATTCTAATCTCAGCACTCTTGAGGCAGAGGCAGGCAGATCTCATTGAGTTTGAAGCCAGCCTGGTATAGTGAGTGCCAGGACAGCCAGGGCTACATAGTGAATCCCTGTCTCAAAAAAGAATAGACGTGTTTTTTTGGGTTTGGAACTCGTGGGAGAAGCTGGGATGTGAGCTCTTGTTCTGTGGCTTCCTGAGACATCCTAGTGTCTTACCACAGTTAGATCGGTCAACGCGGGAATTGGAGCTGGGCCTTGACTATGGAACTCCCACCATGAACCTAGCAGGGCAAAACTTGAAGTTTGAAAATGGCCAGTGGGTAGCAGGTAAGTGGTTCCTCCTGCTGCTCTGTCAATCAGGATGGCGGAAGGAATCCCCTTTCCACTCCTGCTCTGTGCTTCCTCTAGACACAGTGATTAGTGGGGGCGTGGATCGGAGGGAGACTCAGCGCCTGCGCAAACGGAACCAGCAGTTGGAAGAAGAGAATAATCTTTTGCGGCTCAAAGTGGACATCCTGCTGGACATGGTACATTTGCCAAGTACATTTTCTGTGTATCCAAACATGAATATAAAAGCCAACCTTGTCACCAAAGGCTGGAGCAGGGATGTGTAACAATACCCACAATCCCTGAGCCTGTGGAAAGCTGTCCTTTAGTCTAAGCAGAGGCTGGCATTGGCACTGGAGAAGAGGTCTGTACAGTGGAAAGAGTTCTCCGATGAAGCAGTGTGTGAGCTGAGTGCCCCAGGATAGTGGCCGGATGAAGGTTAGGATGAAGGTGTCTCAGGTAGTGGGGTGGTGGGAGTGTCCATTCATGGTGTGGAGGTGTCCTACCTCAAATAGACTGAATCAATGTCCAGCGCAGACCTACTGAGTGCACATATCCAGTCAGTGTCAGTCTTTTGTGTCTTATGGGCCTGGAGGCACATGCACATGGTGATGACAGGCGTGATGGAGCCAACATGAAGCATCTTTGCCCCACTGCCTAATTGCTGCTTGATTTGATCTCCAGCAAGACAACTGGCATCAGAGTAGCACTTACTTCATGGAGCTAGTACAAGCCACACACTTCCTCTGGAAGTAGAGACCACCCGCCTGCCCTCTGTCCTCATTTCAGTGTCAGCTACCTCCTGCTGTAAAGCTTGTTCAATGATCCTCGGGGGGAATGGAACATTTTAGAGCATCCCATTCCCCTGAATTTTTTGTTTTTTTTTTTTATGACACTGTTCCCTAAGTGCCTTTATATGTGCTATACAACTCAAAGTGATTTATCATCCCCTAACTGTAGAGTGCTAGTCCCTGTCCTTTTCATCCTTCACACGTGGCATGGCACACAGTTGTAAATGATGGAAGTGCTAAGGACTGGAATTATGAGCAATCCCTTTGACAGCCAAGGCTTGCCTGTTGAAGAGGCCAGCTGGGTGAGGAACGGCAGGCCTTTCTGTGGGGCATAGCAGCCTTGAAAGCCTGCAGCATGGCCTGAACATAGCTGCCTTTGTAACAGTCTGGTGCTTTCCTTCCAGCTTTCAGAGACCACTGCTGAGTCCCACTTAAAGGATAAAGAACTGGATGAGCTGAAGATTATCAACCGCAGGAGGAAGTGACGCGCCTGTGAACACTCCCTAGGGTATCAGAGAGAGTTCCACTGACCCACTGACAGGGAGGAGGAGATGGCAGAGCCCTTTGATTTTTAGTCAGATTCATAGACTTGCTCTAGGAGAGAGCATTCACAGACCCTAGCTCCCTTGGACTTGGGGATAGGGAGGTAGCATGGGATGAAAGAAACCGAGGTTCCAAGCCAGGGCCTTAGCTTGGGAGGCACCACAGACACACCACCCAGGGTGTCAATCTACAACAAACCCCAGGAAGGTCTAGAAAATAGCCTTTGGTTGCTCTTTGCAGGTGACAGCATACAACTATCCATGTCTCAGAGTCACTGTGTTCAGATAATTGGCAGTTGACCTCTTAACACTGGTGTCTGGGGTTTGGCGCTGGTTCCAGAAAGTGCTTCGTGTGAGGGTGCACAGTAGGTGTCTCTGGGCTCTCTGCTCCCTCCTGTCATGTTCTGTCTGCCTTTGAAGAATCCTTATCCCCAAGTCCACAGCCTCTTCTGGCATCCGCTTCCCAGAAGCAAGCTCCCGCCTTCTGCAGCACGTTGTAATTTACTTTTGCTTTCCTGTTTTGATTATTTTTTATTTTTTATTAAATGGTGTTCAATAATCTCTGTGCAGCAAAATAGGTAAACAAAAACAAAACAAACAAAAAACTAATGTGGGTTCCCCAAGAAGTAAGCAGAGCCTGGATTCTAAGTTTTTGTTACTCCACCAAAAGAATTTTCAGGGTTAGGAAAACAGCACTTTGAAGTGGGAAACCACCCTAGAAGAGAAATAATGACTTCAGGCCCAAATTCCTCTGATTTTCTGCTTCAGGGAGGTGGTACTGGTGGTACTGGTGGCCCACAAGGTGGTCTGGACTTCGTGAGGAAGGGATGGCATGGGAATCAGTGCCAAAGTTAGTGTGATCCAGCCAGAGGGGAATCTAGTTGTCAAAGTCAAGCAGGGGACACGGGTGAGGCATGGAGCCCAGGGCTTTAAACAGGACTGGTGCCTCAGGGGTTCCCTCCGGGGCTGGTGTTGAGTCTGGCAGTGGGCTCAGTCCTTTGCACTCAGTCTCACATCCCTTTAGTTCAGCCCTGTTGACCTGCCTAATTGTACACAGAGACAATGTTCAGAGACCAGTTTGGAAACTGCTTTAGACAACAGCTCACAGTGACAGAGGAGGGACTCCCTACATTAAGGCCATAGTTTATAGTCTCTCCTAATGGCCAGCAGAGCACACAGGGGGATGGACAGAGGCAAGCATAAGGGAAAACTGCAGCTCACAACCATACTTCCTTATCCCTGAGTAAGTGCCTAATCTGGAAGTCTACTCTGCTCTCCCCTTCACCCAGCCCCCCCCCCTTTTTTTTTCAGATGAGTTTTCTCTCTGCGGCCCTAGCTGTGCTAGAACTCTGTAGACAAGACTGGCCTCAAACTCACAGAGATCCACCTGCCTCTGCTTCCCATGTGCTGGGATTAAAGGTGTGCATCGCCACCATCGCCTGGCTCTTTTTCAACTTTAGTTCTATTACATTTTATTTATTTGTTTTTGTGGGGTAGGTTGCATGTGTCCCACTGTTCCATGCAGAAGTCAGAGAAAAAATTCAGGATGAGTTCTCTCTGTCCTATATGGGTCATGAGGATCAAATTCAGGTTGTCAAGTTTGGTGGCTTGTGTCCTCACTCCATGAGTCATCTTGCCAGCCCAAGAAAATGCTTAATACTGAAGAAATCATAAAAGAATCCAGGTATGCCATACAAGTAAAGATGATGGAATAGTGGGGTTTGCTTGTGTCTATTTTTGGCAACCATTTATTGAGAACTCCTGAGACTGGAGTGTGTCTCATTTTTAATTCTCATGACATTAGTACTATTTTTCAGATGAAGAAACCATTCTAATGAGGCAGTGGCTGGAAGAGAAGGAACTGTGGCTGATGCCTTGGGAGCCATGTGGGATACTGTACCAGACTTTTTCTTTTGGGCCACCAACCAGCTCCCAAATCACAACAGACTTACTAGTTTTGAATGATCGGCCCAGCTTAGGCTAGCTCTTTTGACTTAAATTAACCTGTTTCTCTTTATCTACCTTTTGCCTCGGGGCTTATTTCCTTTCTTGCTTCTGTATGTCTTACTGTCACTGCCTCCCTATGTCTGTATGTCTGGCATCTGTCTGCCTGGCTTCTTGCCCCTGTCATGTCCCTCATTCTTTCCTCCTCTTATTCCTCCTCTTTCTGTCTTGAGCCTTGATTTCTCCTCTTATTTGTTCTCTCTGCCCACCAGCTCTGCCTACCCTTTCTCCTGCCTAGCTATTGGCCATTTAGCTTTTTATTAGACCAATCAGTGCCTTAGGCAGGCAAGGTGAAACAAATATTTATATAATTAAACAAACCTTTACATAATACAGCATAAACAAAAGTAACATACCTTTACACAACCGAAGTAATATTCCACAGCATAAAGAAATGTAACACATCTTTTCCTAGTTAAAATAATTTCCACAACAGAGTACACTTGGATGGCCCAATGATGTGACTCCCCCTGCCACCCCTGATACCTTAGGCAGGGTACCAGAGCCAGTATGATATAGGGCAGTTGTGCAGTGAAGGACTTTGGGCAGAAGACTGCCATCGCCCTAGTGGTTGTCTAGGAAGAACAGGTTGAAGGGACTAGGCTCTTCCCACCACACAGTGAGGTAGGAACAGAAGAACTGATGTTGTCAGTGTACATGGGACTTGATGTGGGAATCACCAGGCTTTTTTGACTGTGGCTGTGGGAAGGGGCCAAGGGTGACCCTTGTTAGCAAAATGTCTAGAAACAAACAAAGCAGTCTTCACTCCAAGCCCTATTTCCCTTAGGAAGACTATTTTTGTTCCCTCCACCCCCCTTTACCATTTTGGTTTTGAGACAGAATCTCTTTGGTAATCCTGGCTGTTCTGGAGTGCCATATATAGACCAGGCTAACCCCCCAACTTATAGAGACCCACCTATCTCTACCTCCCGAGTACTAAAGCCACCATGCTCAGCATGTCATTTTTTAACATATTTTTTTATTGATTCTTTGGGAATTTTACATCATACACCCTAATCCCACTTCTTTTCCAGTCCCTCCATATCCACCCCTCATCCCTGCAGCATCCCCTCTAAAAGAAAATTTAAAAAATATATTAGTTCAAAACAAAACAACCACTTACCACCTCCATTTTCCCACCTCTCCTTAATACCTCTTCATTTATCTTAGTGGCATTGGGAGCTGCAGTGTGTCTCATAGTATAGCCTTTTGTCCACTTAGCTTTACTTGCAAATGTTCATTGCAATGATTCATTGGTCTGGTTCGAGGCCTCTGGCTTTTGCTACACCATCAATACTGGACCCTCACGGAGACGCCTCTCTGATACCCTGCTGTTGCCCCATATCATGGATCCTTTGGCTGTAGTTCCATAGGACTGGTCCCTTCAGTCTCTCCAGCAGGTCATAGATGGGGTAGAGGTTGGGGTAGGCCAACTCAAAGCTCTGGATGTGGGTCTAGGTAGTAACTGATTTGGTCATTCCAGGCTGCTGGGACCATCCTTCTTAGGCAAGAGATGGAGCCAGCTCTTCTACATCCATGCCGTGGGGGGTGAGAGGGATGGCCCATGATGGGCGATGCTGCAATGCTATGCAGAGGGGTAGGGCCAGCAAAGGGTGGTGCCTGTTCAACTTGGCCCTCAGATTTCAGCACACACGGTTCCTGTGGCCCCCTGTGATAATATGGGCCACAGAGATCAACACTCCAGCCAGTGGACCCACACATGGCCTTCAACAGCAACTCTGGCCCAGATCTCACCATGACCCCAGGTGCTAGCACAGATCAGAATGGCCCTGGCAGCAGCATGGCCCTAGGACACCAACATGATCTCAGGTGGCTAACCAGACCCCAGGTATCCACACAGCTGTAGGTGGTAACAGGAGTGATGGATATCAACTCAAACCCTGGCTACTGTAGGACCATGAACCCAGACATTGGCCCTCAGCAGGATCTTGGGCCAAATGTCACCGTAGCCCTGGGTGGCAGCTCAGTTTGGCATGACCCTGGTGGTGTCTAGACCCACAGATACCAACATGACCACAGGGGATGGCCCAGACCTTGGACATCTCTGTGGCCTTTGTTCTGGAAGCCTGAATTGCTTGCCTGTCACACTCCCTAACTCTGTCATCTGCACCTAGCTCAGGCTTTTCTGGATCATCTTGTGCCCCCCCACACAATGGTTTGAAAGTGACATTGCATGATCCCACTGTTTTCTCTTCTCATTGCTTGGCAATTTTACAATTATTGAAAACCTTTTTCAAAAAAACAAAACAAAAAACACAGGATGTTGGTGGCATAAGCCTTTAATCCCAGCATTAGGGAGGCAGAGGCAGGAGAATCTCTGTGAGTTGGAGGCCAGCCTGATCTACAGAGTGAGTTCCAGGACAGCCAGGGATACACAGAGAAACCCTGTCTCAAAACAAAAAAACCCTTTACTATTAAACATATGTCTTAGGTTTTCATTGCTATGAAGAGACACCATGACCATGGCAACACAAAGAAAACATTTGAGGGTGGCTTGCTTATAGTTTCAAAGGTTCAATTCATTATCATCATGAAAGGGAGCATGTGGCATGTAGGCAGACATGGTGCTGGAACTGAGAGTCCTACGTCTTGACTCAAAGGCAGGAAGTCTACTGATAGTCACACTGAGAGAAGCTTGAGCATAAGGGACCTCAAAGCCTGCTCTCACAGTGACACACTTCCAACAAGGCCACAAGCTGGATATGATGTTGCATGTGCTATTTAGTCTAAGCACTTTGGAGGGAGAAGCAGGTGGATTTCTGTGATTTGTAGGCCTACTTAGGAAAGCCAGGGCTACACAGACAGACCTTGTCTCAAAATAAGTAAATAGTAACAATGGAAAGATGCTTGCTGCTAAACCTAAATTTGATTCCTCAGGACCCACATGGTGTAAGGAGAGTGTTGTGGGGAATTCACTAGAGAAGACTGCTCTGACTTTTTTCGTTTTTTGAAACAGGGTTTCTCTGTGTAGCTCTGTCTGTCATGGAACTCTGTAGACCTGTCTGGCCTTGAACTCACAAACATCTGCCTCTGCCTCCTAAGTGCTGGGAGTAAAGGCTTGAGTCAATACCATCTGGCCTACTCATGGTTTAAGCCAATAGGAAATCTTTATTAGTTGGCCGGTGACTACACTGGGTGTTCGGGATCCCAGTGTGGCGGTGAGCCTTTCTAGGGGTGAAACTTTTTCTTTTTAAAGATTTTATTTATTTATTATGTATACAACATTCTGCTTCCATGTATATCTGCACACCAGAAGAGGGCACCAGATCTCATAATGGATGGTTGTGAGCCACCATATGGTTGCTGGGAACCGAACTCAGGACCTTTGGAAGAACAGTCAGTGCTCTTAACCTCTGATCCATCTCTCCAGCCCGGGGTGAAACTTTTAAGCGCAAAAACTCTATCATGGACAGTTAGCCAGAAACACAACCATGTAAGCTAGAAGGCAAGGATAGTACATTTAGAGACTCCCGGAACTATTGCCTTTGATGAATTAGATCCTTGTTTTTATTTTTGCCTGTTGATGTCTGGGTGTT